ATGTTGTACCTGGGTGTTCAATTTAATCATGAGAGTTTATGTGGAACTTAAAGATCTTATACTAGTTGCATCATACACCCTTCGGATAATAAGATTTAAGTTCTTAAATTTGAAAATTATTTTTTGAAATGCCACATGTAGCTGTACTTTTGATATCGTAATTAATAAGGTCCAAAATCTGATAAAGAATATTTCATTTCCAGGAAGTGCAAGATACTGAGCAGTGGGCCCTGGGAAGAAGTGGAGCCACTTCCTCTTCAAGATATCTCCATTCAGATTGATTATGAAGAAGACAGTGGTCTTTCTGCTGCTGTGTGGGCAGTAGGGAGCAATGGAGATGTTATGTGCAGGCTAGGAGTGACCAAACAATGTCCACAAGTGAGTCTACAGCAAGATAACGTCTATTTTTTTGTATCTGTATTATTTAGAAATATATAAGAAGAAAAAGTTGCATCGGCATTATGTCAAGGAGGCAAAAGATGTAACCTCCCTGAGTGACAAAAAATACTAAAAATATAAAAAAAATTTTTAATAGTAATCAGCAGGAAAGCATACTTCATGTATTGATTTAATGCAGTTTATTGCAGATATAACTTCTCATCAAACTTATTCTTATGTAAATATACAGTACATTCTTACCCACTGCTTTTGATAGGTAGTTTTTTCTTTTTAACAGGGCTTTTAATGACCTATTCCCTTGCCAATAACCCACAAATATTTCTCCATCACTCCACTTGGGCCTTAATGTCCATAGATAAGTGAATTTTTTCACCATAGTACTCAAGGGAGACAAAACTGAATGAGGTTATTTTCTCTGTTTCACAGGGCACCCATTGGCAGCATGTGCCCACTGATCAGCCTTTCCAGTCTATCAGTGTGGGTGGCTGGTACAGAGTTTGGGCCATAGCAAAGGATAGTTCTATCTGGTTTAGGAATGGTGTATCTCCACAGTGTCCTCTTGGTAGGTGTAGACAGTTAAGACAAGTGTAACTTAATTTGATGTTATGTTTATCTTTTTCAGGGCTTGCTATAATTTTTTTAAGGCTAGTATATAAAATTATCTATTACAACTGTTTTAAAATGTAACTTTTTCATTTGAGCATCCCCCCCCCTCCGCTCTTTAAAAGAAGTTTGACCTTTCCCACTCTGATATCAATAGATTTGAATACTTAATAGTACAGCCATTTAGTTCTTTTGCTATTGTAATGTTTTTATTTGTTCCAGGCACCCGTTGGTTCCATGTGACACCCCCACCTCATGGCTTCCGCATGCACCAAGTAGCAGCAGGAAAAACTGCAGTTTGGGCTGTGGATGATAAGTGTAGGTTTTGCTATGGATTGATTAGCCCATATTTTTTGCCATTTTTGGTCTGACATTTTCAATGACGAATTAAGTACTTTATTTGAGATAGTAACAGTTTACTGTGGTATGGCTATTAGATGATGACGTGAATTATGGTGATAGATTTGATAGTAGCTTTTATACGTTATCATTATTTCAAGTGTAAGAAATAAACAGTATCTACCAAGTCTCTGCAGAAAAGTTATCATGGTGTTGCAGAAAAGACTTCTCTTCACTGAATGTGAATATCTTACAATTTAGATGGTCTTTGGTATCGTAAAGAAATTACTCCAACATATCCAGAGGGCCTGTGTTGGATTAGAGTATGTGGAAAAGTCAAACAGGTGTCAGTTGGGCCACAGGACCAGGTATGCTTTCCATATTACAGTATTGAACCAATGAGCTATATTTCTTTTTAGGGGTGAGGGCTAGTTAGACAGTTGCCTAGATCTGTTAGTTTTTATATGGGCTTTTCTACTTGCAAAATGGGAATTAGTCAAAGTCTTGTCTACAGGTGGATCTTAGTATGTATTTTCTCCCAGTTATGAGTGCAATGGCCAACTCTTCAAAGTGAATGTCTTTTTTCTGAAAAAAAAAATAAGATGCTTCTCACTTCTGTAAACTCATGAACCTGTTACACACATATATGAGTAAATGTATTTCTGTGGCCTATATTTCTCTTGCGTGTATAGGTTTAACATTTTATTTATTGCTTTTTTAATCTTCTCTATTGCAGGTATGGATAGTTGCCGATATGATTGATACCCCCAGTGGTCCAGTGTACGGAGTTGTTGCTAAGAGGAAAGGCATAACAGCCGATCTTCCTGGAGGCAGTACTTGGGAACTAGGAATAGGGGTAACTATGGGGCCAATAGTCAGCTGAGCTAGAGGAAGCAATGTAATCTGGATTGGCAAAGATTATGCTTTGTCAACATTAAAGTCCTTGCCTTGTGTTAACAAGGGGACCATTCCCAGACCCCATCGTACTAACTGGCAATCGATCTATCTCTGAGGGGGTTCTCGCTAAATTGCAATCAACTTAAGCGACTTAGATGTCTGTCATGCTTACTGAAGCTGCTAAGGGGGTAATTATTGCTTAGCAGCTTCAGCTGGCATATCAGACATCTAAGCTGAAAGCAATTTAGTGGGAAAACCCTCGGAGGTGGATCGAACCTGTTAGATTGATCTAGGTATGGGAACCCAGTCAAAAACTCAGAAACATGCTTTACCTACAAGATTTTGGTAGATATTATTGTGTCACCAAAAATTAATATATTAGTTTTTCTTGGTGTTGGTTACCTTACAGAACTTCTATTGGTGGTCATTGTTGTACAAGTTTAAAGGAAAAATGACAATTTTAAATAACTGACCAAAAAGCATTTCTTACTTTTGTTGCTATCAACCAATGCTTGGAGTCGTTTCTTCAAAAAAAAAAAAAGGTACCGATTTAATTATTAAGAAATTGTTCAATGGGCTTTTGCTTATGAAATGTGTTAAGAATTATAGATTCAAAATGGATTCAAAGACTGCCCAGAAAAACCAGCAGGCCCTTGACAGCAGCCACCATTCCCTGCCCACACTGCAGCAAATCCTTTCGAGTGCAGATTGACCTTACCAGCCATCTGCGCACACACAAAACACAAGTCACTAACTCATAGGATGACTAGATGATCCTCGTCGAACCACAAAAGACGCAATTGAAGTGCATTTCTAATGTAGTAGCTCATGATCATATAATGTTATGTTTATTATTTGTAGGGAGGCTGGAGCACGGTCTGTATCCGTGGATGTGCTGAAGAAGAGAGGGAAGTTTCCACAGAAATTGGCACAGATATTGCCTCATTTCCGGACATGATGACCAGGACTGACCAACAGGGTCTCACTGTTGCTACATGAAAAACAATAGAAAAAACTTTTTAATAAATAAACGTCAGGGCCCTGTATCTCGAAACCATCGCGCATTGTGCCCGTGCGCAAGCATCTCGATTCCATAACTCGGCCATACTCCCCCCATGTAATACATTGTAGCCTCTATGTGACATCGCTATTCGCAATACACGATGCTTTTGAGATACGGGGCCCAGGACCACAGGAAATTTAACAGAAATGTTTTTTGAACACATACAATACAAAGACTGCTTTCATTAGTATGTACTTGCAGTAGAAGACTGAATTTATTATTGTGCAAGATTTAATTTACTTTGTAAAATGATATTTTGATACTGTGTTATATCCAGAGGTCACAAATAGCATTCCCAAAGTAAAAACTTTTTTATTCTTTTTTTTCTGAATTATGTTTTATGTCCCTGTAATGTTTGCTCAATCTATATCACTGTACATGAGTTTTCTTCTGTTGTTATTGTGCAATACAACATTTAATTTTAGCAAATTATTAAGAAAACTATTACTGGACAAAAAGATGAATGAAATACAATACAAATACAATACAATCAACTTTTTTCTGTGATCCAAAAACAAAGTGTACATTGTATGTTAGATATTATTTATGGTTATTTTTAAATAAGTTCTAAAAGTATTGATAGAAGACTTAAGTATTGAGTTAAAAATGCAAGAGCCAAACAGTGACATTGAATGCCAAGCACCAATTTTACTCAGGTTCTGTATTAAATGATTGGCCATGTAATCAACAAGCATTGATGTCTTCTATTTATGATTAAATTTTTTCTTTTTTGTTCATTATTACAGCATTATTACCAAGTTTTAGGAAAAGGAATAGTTAATAAATATTGCAATGTGAGATTAGTTGTGCCTGCATTTGGAAGTCCTATCATTGTATATGCAGAGAAATGGCCAGTAGATTGGAAGTACATAATCACATTCCACATCTCTTTGAACCTTCTTTCTTGGTGCAACTTGAGCCAATTTTTCTGCACCCTTCTCTTTCATCAACTGCAGGCTAACTTTGCAATTTTTTAGCTATGAAAAAAAGACTACAAAATTCAGAAAAAGGGCAGCAATTTTGTTACCACCAAAATTTAAATGGTGATCAGTATGATCCACTGATTCATGAAATAACTAAGCAAAGTATGAGTGTCACTGGTGAAGAGAAGTGAAGAGAACTTGAAATTGACTTTATGTGTGTATGAATAGTCATTTATTTTCAATGTTAGATAAATAACAGAAAACAATAAAAATGTATAATAAACCAACAAGGATACTTTTAAAGTTCTTTCAAAAACAAATACTTATTAATATCAAAATTAGCTTTAATCTGATAAAAAATATGTGCCCCATTTCATACTGCAACTTAGTGTCAGAGTTCCAGACATCATACCCCAAAATTCTGCTACTTCAAAATATAAGTAATCTATTGAAAATGTACAATAATACAGTTATTATCATTTTCACAAAATAAGAACATTTTGTTAGTAAGTGAAGTCTTCATCCCCTTTGCATGAATATTTTTTATATTAGATTACAATCGCAAATTTACGATTGTTGGTTACTGTAAATACAAGATAAAATATCCATTCGGTCAAGAATGTATCCTTGACAAGAATCTTTGTTACAACTTTCACATTGATCTTTTTAAATGTGTTATATGTTAAAAAAATGTTAAATGCATCACGAGACCTTCATATGAGATATATTTTATTAATTATAATTATTATAATAACATAATAAAAAGTTGAGCATTTTTTTTTTTTTTTTAGTCAAGGTAGACGTATATTGCAGTTCTGAATGAAAAAAAAAATCATTATGACCATATACAGTCGCATACATATGTGAATTTCTACTTTTCAAGATACCTGGTCCAGGATACTAAAACCGAATATGTGGCATTTTTGAAAATAACCTGATATAGTAGGCTATTTTACCTAGATGCAATATGGACTTTGATAGGGGGATCTGCCACCATAACAACCTTAGTCTTTCGCTTGAACACCATATTTGGCACTGTTGTAATTTTGAAGTCTCTGAGCAACATGGCAAGTACAAGCCTCATCTCCAGCATGGCAAATTTGTGTCCCAGGCACATGTGTGGTCCAGTGATGAAAGGCAGGAAGGTGAAAGGCTTCACTGCTTCTGGATCTTGGAATCTCTCAGGCATAAATTTCTCAGGTTCTGGCCAGTATCTTGCATTTCTATAACAACGCATTACATTTCAATGAGCATCAACAGAGTCACATAAATCACATCTTATATACATGCAGACCAATTCACATCGATGATATTATATCCTTAGTCCAGCTACTGTCACATGGTTTCCTCGCATTTAAATATTCCTTGTGATTTACGTTCTTACAAAATAGCATTTTTATCCACTTGGCCAATACATCTCAAAAAGCAGTAACAATGTGCATTATTTTGTTAATGCAGAAAGCTAGCCTACCTCATAAGAGCCCCTACGTGATAGGTGACCGTGGTTCCAGCAGGAATGAGATATTCACCAATTTTGTCATCATTAACTGCCTTCCTGTTGGCACTAGGTACTGTGGGATACAATCTGGAATAAGGGATTTTGAATTAACGATAAAGAACATGCCACACTTTTTAAAGTTTTTTCAAACACTCAAAATATGAGTTACCCAGAGCACAAATACCCAAGGCTTTTGGTGGACTTATTTAGAAATGTGTATATTGCATGCAACAATCTAATTTAAACTTCCACTGTGTGCATCTATATATATGTTTTTAATGGCAGTTATTTTGTGTGCTGATTCAGAAGCACACAAAAAAGTTGCCTTAATCTAAACAATCCTCACCTGAGAGTTTCTTTTATAATACAATTGATATATTGTAATCTATCAACATATTCCCAGGTTATTTTCTCCTCCCTTGGTGGAAGCACCTGCACAGCTTCTTTGTAAGCCTTTTCTTGAATGTCTTCATGTTTTGCAATCATGTACAGTGCCCAAGACATGGCTTTTGCTGTTGTCTGAAACGTACAGTAAGGTTTCACCTATTAGCCAAACAAATAGCAATAGGACACAAAGGAAGAAAAGAATAATTCTTATCTAGTTGTTTTGATAGTAACGTTTATTCCACATGAATAATATGGTACTTAGAAAATGAAATCTATGGAACTAACCAATGCTTTTACCTCTAATGGTGTTCAGGAATAAATTATATAAGTAATAACCCAATATTTTCAATTTCAATGCTTTCTCTACATAACTAAATAGATCAATTTTATTTATTACAAAATGACCCTACCTCATGTCCAGCAATAAGGAAACTTATAATATGGTCATGAAGTTCCTTGTCAGAAAAAGTCTGTCCTGTCTCTGGGTCATGGGCTTTAAGCAGCAATGCCAGGATATCATTTTCTGGGTTGTCAGCTGAAATGGAAAATTATACTTATGTTAGCTGTCATATTGTCTGCCACTTGCATAAAGGAAACTCAATCTGGTCGAAGAAATCTAAACCAGTAATTTTTTTTCCTTCCAAGCTATCACTGTTTTAACTTTAAAAAAAAGTTAATCATTTTGGTGATCAAACATGAATAAATACGCCAAAACAGAAAAAGTTATGTTCAATATATATTGTAATTATTTTCTATTTAATTTCTCATTTTCCATCATAATACATTTACAGAGAAAGTGCACTTGTTGATCTGCCTAAACAATAAATAAAATGTCATTTGATATGTAAAAATTTAAACACATATATGAATGAAATATTTTTCTAATTTCAGGGAATCACTTCTAAACCTCTATACATAGTTGGCAGCTAGAAGTTATTAATTTCAAAATCATTACCAGAACTTACAATCAGTATTTCTTTGTCTCTCACTTATGATATTATTCACCAAGTCATCCGCCACTTTTACCATTTTCTCATATGTTTTGTTGTATGCAGTCGGTATCCTATTTAAAATAGGTATTGTGTTCTGGAAGCTACAAAACAAATAAAATAACTTTTGTCTTCATTTTATCAAGCAGTGAAGACAACATGGGACACTGAAGAAATTCATAAAAAGACCTTAATCTTTAAAATACAGCAGTAATAGAATATATCACATGCCCAAGATTAATAACAAAAAGGTGACAACAAGGGTCAATAGCTTTTGCGCAGTTATAACAAAATTGTGACAATAAAGAGAAGACTATGGGAAGTGGGAAACAATATGATAAAGTTCTATCTTGCAAATTTGATCTTAGGTCACTTCATTTCAATGTTTTAATATTAGTAAGTTTTTTTTCTTAAACAAATGCAATGAAAATTAGGTCAAGGCAAGTTGGTCAAGGTGACAATTTTGCCACCATATCCAATGGCTCTGTAAAAACTTTGTGTTCTGTTAGGTGGTTCTAACCCACCCTCTTTTCATGGCATCATGCTAAAAATGTTATGAAATAGTCATTAAGGGAACCAGAGACATTCAAAAGACCTAAAACCAAACAATCTTTTAACCAGTGCCAATTACAAGTTCCAAAATAGACTGATAGACTTGCATTTTAGTAACTTTATTCTCAACTTGTTCATGTCTTTTGATATTCCTCTATTCTTATTCATTAGTGATTTTATTCAATTATGATGCTAAGAATGTATTTATATGTTGCAAATTTGATAATAATAATAATAATAATAATAATAATAATAATAATAATAATAATAATAATAAAGAAACATGAAAGGCATCTAATCCTTAGATGTTACACAAGAGGATCCAAGCTTAAATCATCAGTTTCCATTTTTGTAACTGTATATTCTCTTAATCATCAAACTTTTTACCTGACAGATGGAACGGAGGTAACAAATCCCAATGCTTTCACATTTTCATTATCTGGGTCTGAGATGCTGTTGAGGTTATAACTAAATGCACACTGGCTGACGACATCTAAAGCCTTATGAATAAAAGGGAAAAAAGAGATTTTTAAATAACATGCATGAAAGAACTGACATATGCACACATTGCATAAACAAATACAATCAGTCACTCATACCCACACACAAACACATACAAATTTACAAATTAACATAAAGAACATATATACTCATTCATACACACAAACATGCAGGCTGCTGAAGATGCTGGGGAAATTTATTAAAAACATTTTTGTACAAAACCCTACTTTTAAGTTACATTAAAATTAAAATGTCCCTTTCAACTACATTTCAACCAGATATTTTTCATCTGTTTAACTTACATACCATATTGGTCAAATCAAGTTGTGCATCCACCACACATCCCTCACAATGGCTCTTAAGCTGTTGTGTCCACTTGTTGATCACCTGCTGACATTTGGTTTGGAAAACTGGGACCATGTCTGTAATATCCAATAATAATAATAATTGTTGGTATTTTTAATGGCAAATGCACAGGCAATAGACAAATGTACATGGCAGGCAAACAAATGTAATTCATAAATGTACATGGTGACAGACTAAGCTGATGCACATAATGACACACCAAGATAATGCAGAAATGCACAACAGACGCTTACTGTACAAATGTACAAGTGACATAGCTATGTGTGCATGCATAAAATATGCGTTGTTCTACATGTCTTTGTAATCTTCCCATACAGACAAATTTCAGGTATAGGTATTATTTTCTATGAGAAAAACGTTATCTTGAATATCACTTCCAGGTTTAAGGAGAAATACTGTATTTGTTATTTTCTTGAAACCACTTTTGATATATATTCTGGTTTTCCAATATACTGTGGAATGTCCTATAAACTTGTGTTTATTGGAACACAATTTAAAACATCTTAAAACCTTTTTTATTGTACCCATACAAAATGAAAAAAAATATACTTGAGACAAAAAAGTTCAAAAATAAAAATAGTCATGAATGTCCTTTATACACTTACTAAGAACAGCCTCTCCAAACAAAGCATGATGGAAAATCTTCCTTTGTTGTCTATGATAGTCTCCATCAACTGCCAAAATACCTTGTCCCCCAAGTCTGCTTACAGTCCTAAAGTAAAATGGAAACTAGCTTATTCCATTAGAACCTGAATGGAATTTAAAGACAATAACCCATCTCTTATAATGCCACTCACAACTATCATGGACTAAGGTATCTAGGACCCCATTTCCAGAGATTAGATCGATCTACTTTAGATCGACCTAACTCCCTGGGGGTTCACGCTAAATAGCTGTAAGCCAAGCGGACACGAAAGTTAATTACCCCTTACAGCTTGTAGTAGGCGGGACGGACATTTAAGCCGGATTATCTGACAGTAATCTAGTGAGATTCCCCGTGGGGATAGATCGATCTAAAAGCTCTGGGAATACAGCCTAGGGCTCTCTATTATGTCTTGCAATCTTGCTTACAGTTACTTAAATGTTCGTTATATCTACTGTGTTATAGTTCACAAGTACTTGCTCTATTAAGCAATCTTAGTTTTATGTTTCTTGTTTGTGTCTAAACTGAAAGGGAAAGTAGCATAATAGATTACATCTTTATTGCTCCCTCTTAATAGCATATTGACTTACGATGTTCCTGGAAATGTCCTCACATAATTTTTAGCATTTGTCACAAGCATTCTCTTCAAGCCTTCGGGACAAGCAATCAAAACACGTTCCCTTCCCAGCAGATGGTAATATCTCACTATGTCTCCATATTTTTTCACCCATCTGAAGTGTGAACGCAGGATGATTTAAATATTCATAAATATGCAATTATATCCTGATGTATTTGAGATTAAACGATTTTCAATCAGATAATATAAATTTTAAAAACCTCTTACAAACTACCTAAAGAAGTTTTCTTTTTCTTACATACATAATCAGGTAATTTTCTTGACCATACACTATCCTTGATTACAATATACAACTGAGCAGATTTAATTAATGCAATTATGTGGGGTTTATTCTGCAATATCACGCTAACAGACAGCCTAATTGGTCTTTTAGTTATATCACTTATACCTCTACCTTTCAAAGTCTTGAGGAACCTCTACACAATGTTTACATTCTTACTTTGTTGATGTCTCCATAGCTTCACCTTGCATTGCTTCTCTAACATTGCCATATATTGGGTTGTGATACCCTGGACCAGGTATCTTGAAAAGAAAAAGTTCTTAAATGCACATGACTATATACTGTCAACATTTTTTTTCATTCGAAACTGCACTATATGTCTATTTTACTGACTAAAAAAAAACAATATAAATTATGCATGAGACTTAGGTTGACTACTGTGTACTTTAACTACCTGACAAAAAAAAAAAAAAAAAAAAAAGAATATAAAATGCATGAGGAGACTTTACCTAAAATCTTTTGACTACAGACTACAATCTGACAGTTTCAAACTTACCCTTCTGAGAGGAGAAAAAAATGGCTTGATCAAAACTTTGTAAATGAAGCATGTTATCCAAAGCACGAAGCAATAAGTCAGGATAGAAGACAAGTTGCTTCCATTCTGCACCAAAATGTCCATGTTACTGGAACCGTAAAAAGATTATTGCATCAAAAAGAGTGCTGAACAGATTTCTGGAAAAAAATACTAATTTCTAAAAAAAAATGATAACTATCTAATCTAGTTTTAACTTTTAATTAAAATTAGAAGAAATGGGTGCAGCAAACTACTGTTCAGAGTGTACAAGATATCAGAGAAAGGAATGTAACTCTGAAATGCCCATCTGTAGTGAGACTGAAGTTTCAGAAGTAAACTATGACACTGTTAATTGATGAAGAAATAGACAAGTACAAAAATGCACAGCAACAACTGGTGTCCACTGGTAAGAGTACTAGTAAAGTACTTTTTGCAAATATCATTGACATTCTGCTAATATTGTGAACTACAGGACCATTATTAATGTAAAAGGTGACACCATCTAGACTGCAAGTTAATAATATAACAAAGGCACCTTCACTTAGTTAATTTCTTATGGTCAGCCAACTTCTACACCCTACTGACCTTCGGTAGAACGGATATGAGTCTCAATTTGGCAAGCGACAAGGTTCATCAAAAATACTTTCTTTTGATTGGATAAACACCGATGCAAAGAAAATTAACCAATCAGCAGCGCAAGTTGCTGCCTTTAGCTAGGCGAGCTGTAAGATGGCAGTCAGTATAAATACAGAGCGCGAAGGGAGAGGACAGGAGTCAGTCTTTATTGAAACGCGGCGCGTTTGTCGTACAATTTTGCATTTCAAACCATTACACTCCTTTCAAAATGAGGAGGGATGCCCTTTGAAGCAATCCCGGGAGCATCTAAACACTCTTTTACCTGCTTGCCTACTACCGACCAGAAAAGTTTCTTCTTGGAGTTGAGTTATATCGTCTTGCCAAAGTTTTTTTTTTCAGCAGACGTGTTGCCCTTGAAGATCCGGAAATCAAAGCAAATGAAATGACTACTAGGTAAGAAGTTTGAAAGACGAAAAAGACGCTTGAGGATTACACAAAAAGGTTTAAAGTGGTACGAATTCTTAGTTGTTTCTTATGTAATTTAGATACAAAAGCTGGTTTGTTGTCAAACTTGAACGTCAAAGCGGCCACAACTGTGGTCAAGGCCGTTTAGTTTGCTGAAAGTGTATGAAAGATATTTAACAGCTGGACTAGTCAAAGTATAGTTATTTATTTTGTATATATATATATATATATGTTTATACATGATGTGTGTAGAGAGGAAGATGGTGTTTGTCATTACAAAAAATCTTATTGATGTATTTATTTTTGTGATTAATGAAAAGTTGTATGGCAATTGTAGCAAAAAGAAAAAATGAAAAAAATGTGGTGATGCTCACATNAAGTGATGAATTTATAAATGGATCACCACCACCACCACCACCACCACTCTTCCTGCCTCTCATTGGAATTAAATTTTTGGTTAACTGTAAGTTTTTAAATCTGGTATTATGTCTTACATGTTGCATTTTTAATGAAGTGGAGACATACAGGAATGAAACACCAGATAGTCCACATGCAATTGTGTCTTCTTTTATGGTTGAAATATCAGTTTGAAACTGTCTGCGATTTTCTTGCCAAATCAAGTTTTCCTTGAAATGGAAAAAGCATTCTCCTATTTGTGATTGATCAAAGTTGACCACAAGTCTAATTGCTGATCAGTCACTTAATACACTGTTAAGTCTTTCTGAACATTTCAACAGAAAATAGTGACATCAATTTATTTTTTGAGGGGCTTTAATTTTTTAAGGTATAAATTGGGAAGATAGGTAACTTTGCAGTATATGTATATAAATTATGACTTGGGCATTTCCATATGTGAATAGTATACCTTTGATTTTTTTTTTTTTTTTACAAAGCTTTGATGATAAAAAAAAATTAGAAGCTGTTTTTATTAGTATTTCATACTTAAAAGGATTATCAAACATCCTTACCTATCATAGATACTTTGAATCACAGGATTTCAAGGGGGATCAATTACTTCTGTTAGAACTATAGATTTTTTTTTCCTAAATGCTGTTTTACAAAGTAAAATAAGTGGGCAAATTGATGCTTTTATCTTTCTAGGGTTTCATTAGTAAGGTATTAAAAACCCATAAGAATGGAGTCTTTGGTAGACCTGCTTCAAATATTATACATGAAAGAGGTATATTAAAGTGATCCAAGCCAGTATTTTGAACAGATTCTAAGGGGCCATTCAGAGTAGTAGATCCCAGTATCAACTGGTCCAAGGCTCAAATATGGCGGACCCTACATGAAATCTTGTAATGGTCTCTCCGCCTCTCACATGCCTCCCCATGCATTTGGTCGAATGGAGTTGAGATTTAATTACTTTGCCCCTGCAGGGACGATGCATACATGTAGTATTTCATAAACTTGTTGCATAAATTAAGTGCTGTTTGTCGATACATAGCCCGTAGTATAGTAAAATTTCACAGGTGTGTCAGCTATAACATGTCAAAAATGAAACCTGTCATAACTTTTAAGCATGTGTCGTCATCTTAATGATATATACATACCTGGGTTGAGGTAATGCCTCTCTGTTCCTCTAGTTATTTCATATATTTATTTTCAAAATATTTTTTTTCTGGAAATGCCATTCTGAATTGCCTTTTGATGAAATGTTGATCACAGTATGTACTTCCTGGGGTAGCGCTTGCAATTTTTTTCGCTTAGCCATATCACCACACTTTTGTCAATTTGTTATTAAAATGGCTATAATTTGGCTAAAACATGTTAAATCTAGCCCTTTTTCTTTAGCCAATTTAAGTCAGTGTTAGCATTTAGCTAAATTGGCGAGTGTTAGCGCTACCCCAGACTTCATTACTGAATTATTTTTTGAAGATTTTTTTTAACTCTGCCAGATTTTATGCAATAAAATGACTTTTATAAATACAGATATTTCATTCCTATGATATAGTCACAGTTTGACAGCTGTTGCATGAAAAAGATGCAATTAAGACTTATGATGCTCTAAGAATTCATGACTTAACATTGATTTTTTTTTTCTGTTTGAAAATCTAGACTTGACCGACTGTTTCTTCTGCTGGACACTGGTTCCACTCCATTAGTCCGGAAATCTGCAGCGGAACAACTTGGGGAAGTACAGAGACTCCATCCACATGAACTTCAAAACTTGTTGACTAAGGTTAGCACCAGCTGATAATACCAGTTGAAGAAGTAGCATGTGTAAAAGGAACAGTGTTGGGAATTGTTCTTGTTTTAAATCTTTAAAAAAAAAAAACGAATGCATGTCTGTGGTAGTGCTAGCAAATTTTTTTGCTTAGCCAAATCACTACTTTTTCATCATTTTTTCCTCCAAATGTTTTGAATTTGACAAAAACAAATCAAATCAACCCAATTTTGTTTAGCCAATTTAAGTCAGTTTTAGCATTTGGCTAAATTGGCAAGTGTTAGTGTTACCCCAGCATGTTAATATCCACTGTGTGAGTTTAAAAACATATTTCTAGTTTATTTTTAAAATTGGAATACAAAAGGGTGATAGCTGCAGACTTAAATACTAGAAATGGGAGGACCCCAGGGAAATTTACAGTGCTTACAATTGTTGAACACTAAAATCCTATACAGCCTCCTCAATCAAGATGGCTTTTTTCTTGATTAGAATGATCCTAGTTTGGAACTTGCTTTTTATTTTCTCTAGTCTAAAGATAGTTTATCCTACCAGCAGCCACATGTGAGTCCAACCAATTAAAGTATGCTTAAAATCTGGATGGAAAATACAATTTATTATCCATTAAACTGAATAATAATTTCAGCATAGCTTAAAGTACACATTTTTAGATGTTCAGACAAGAAAGTCTAGTTTTTATTACATTTTTGCCACAGGTGCACATGTACTTGCGCAGCCCAACATGGGAAACCCGTATTGCCTCTGGTCAAGCAGTAGAGGCTATTGCAAAGAATGTGCCACAGTGGGAACCAGTTGGACTAGTGAAGAAAGGTGACTAGAGCTTGGGAGGTTGATTGAAATGTGTCATTTCAATTATGTCCATCAAAACTGTACAGACAGTTGTAGTCCAAGAGATTGATCTGATCATATATTGGTGTATATATGTATTCGATTATGTGAGGGTCTGTGTGTGTACTATACACACTTTGTAATGAAATATTATTTTACAGATGATGGTTATTGGCAAAATATATCAATATATACTGTCAGTTATATGCATCTGGGTTGATTCTTTCTAATTTGTGATACCCTGCTATGTTAAAATTTTAGTCAGTAATTTGACTGAGTAAAACGAACCTTTTTTTTTGTCTCCCAAACCAAAATATCTTTTGGAGCATTTATGAAAATAGCATAAAAATTCGGCATGCATCAGACATGCTGTTGTTTATGTAAGAATAGATATATCAAATGTGACAGTTTAGAAATGAAAATGTGTATACAAAATTGATTTGCAAAAATCTTTTCATGTTAGGAATAAATATGTTAGACACCTTAACATGTGCTCTAAGTCCGTTGCTTGGGAGCATCTGGAAACATTTTTGGTCTTAACGGATATTACGTCAGATAGTGTTAATGTCAAGGAAATTTACTTTTACCTTGGAGACCAATCACTTTGGTTTCTGTCATATTATGTTGTAAATTTGATTTGCATTTTTTTTTTTTTTTTTTTTTTTTTTTTTTTTTTTTTTTTTTTTTTTTTTTTTTTTTGT